CGAATTTAATTAACCAAGTGCGATCTCATAATACATTATATATGGGAAGAATAGGCAAACTTAATTGGAATGCGTGTACTAGTATGCGATAAACTATGTGATGGACAGACGACGAATATGCAGAGAATTGTGTGAACAGTTTGACCAATTGCGGTCTGTTGCATTTTAGTCGCAGATCAGCTTCTTGCACCTGTTTCTACATTTTTCCAATCCTTAAATTTTAACTTTTCATGTAAGCCCAAGAGCGTGGTTTTGTTGAAAAAGTCGTTTTTTTATGAGAGAAGCATGGGATGTAGCTACTGTCTGCCAAAGTTATCTACTGACAATCACCACTATTCTCATATTAGACGCGCTCGAGCTTATACGAAAAGTGAAAAATTGAGAAGAAACTAGAAAAATATAAAATCAGGGGCAAGAAGTTGACCTACGACTAAAATACGACAGACCCGCGATTGATCGAACTGTTCACATAATTCTTTATATGTTCTTCGAATTATCCATGAACAGTTGGCCAACTCTTAGTGTTGACTGCTCTCGATCGGGTGGAAACTCCTTGAAACGTCATCCTCGCGGGAACGCTGTACCAAAATCACGTGAAGGAGGTTTTCAACATCTTGAATCTAGTGCGGCCAAAGTTCGTAAGAATGAAAATCCCCAAAGCCATGAGATGGAGGATCGTGGGTTGGGCCGAGATCAACAACCGGAGTAACCTAATGAAACACTACAGGAACAATGACTTATAAACTTGGTCGATCATACGCTAAACAAATATGAAATCCATGAAATTAATGCATAAACCTGTTATTAGGATGCAGCGGTAGACAATCTTATCCATGAAAAATACAAAATACATTCACACTTTTTTTGTTTGTTATATATAGTAATAGGGACGTGGATGAATTTTTTTGGACTCCATTGTATTTGTAATTCATTCATGATGGGTCACTACATGGTTCTAGGTAGAACCGATTGAGAACAACTCCGATCCGCCTGAATGGTCGTGCGTAAACCTGTAAAAACTCAACGCTATAGGGGATTCTGGCATAGAGCCATCGATGATTAAGTCAACAGAATAAGGATGATGAGTGGTCTGTAATATAGAGTTGTATTCAATGTGTGTAGTATGTAAAATATTATTTTGGTGTACTGTAGTCCCATTTATAGGGAATTACCTACCCAAAATAGCTTGCCTATTGCCCACGGGGAGCCTTGCTTTGATCTTAGTGCTTATCTATATCATAATGATCTTCTAGTCACCCTTAGATTCCATCTTATCCTTATGAGGTTCATTCTTATTCTTAATATCCAATGTTTTATGTCGTGGTCATTTTCTAAGTCATCTATTCCATAGCCCGATCATCGAGGTCGAGCTATGCTAGTCTCTTTCGCTTCTTAGGCTGTCTGGCACAATTCAGGTCTTCTACAAGTCTTCAGGTCGTCTGAAGTTGGTTCAGCTGAGGGCAAGGGTCGCTCTGGTACCCACATCTCACTATTTCTAGGTCGTGGAGTATTTCGGTCGAGCTCAACATACCTAGTATTTCTTGTTCACACAAATATGCCTATATCATCTAGTAGTATCCCCCTCCCCCCTCCCTCCCTCCCTCCCTCCCTCCCTCGGCCAAGTTACTCTAAGCGACCTCGAGCTTTGGAGTAAAGTTGGCGATTTGACCTTTCTGACATGTCTTAAATGCGAATTTTAATGGACTTTTGTCTTTTCATTACTCATGTCCTCGATGTTCGTGCACGATCTGGGTCGTTCAATATGGCATCACCTATGGGTCGAAATCCTTTAGGTAGACTATAAGTACCTCCTCCCACTTCATTTTCACACTTATGGCTCTTCATGCTTTTTTTAGATTTTTCCTTATTGTTATTATATAGTAATAGATAGGTAATAGGTTACACTACTATGCATACATAATATATGGATATCACTTCACATTCCACATTTACATAATATATGGATATCACTTCACATTCCACATTATGTATGTGTTATAATCTAAAATTTTGGTTTGTTCTATCATCTTAACAAAAAAAAATTAAAATAAATTATCGACCTTGCGGGTTGGTTGATCCTTTACAATTGATCTTTCAACGATTGTATGGTCCAACAATTGAAATAAAAAATGACTATTTCGTGGAACAATTTGGAGCAAGACCTGAACTAAGTTAATTTTAAATTCTCGAATATAACAAATCCAGTAATTCCCAGTTTCGATTATTCCCGAACCCATCAAGGCAAAATATTTTGGCAGATTTACATCTCTACTGTGTGTTGCTAAATCATTGCAAATTTACACATATGTATATTTATTTGCACACATACGATACTAACCTTTTTTAATTAAATAAGAACTAGATAATTAAATGATGGATTAAAAAAGTTATGTTGTTTTGACATTCCATAACTGATGAACATTTAATTTGGAAATTATTATACATAATGTTATGTAAATAATTCATGTCACTCTCTCATCAGGATCCCCTCCGTTGTCTGCTTCTTTTGTACCTGGAACTTCTTCTCCGCCGCCCATGACCTTGCACCTATTTCATCGGCGTCACCTGCACCCTCCACCCTCAATCGCATCTCCGCCCTATCCTTCGACACTGGCCTCGCCGACACCCTTTCTAGGTCCTCCAACGGGACTCTGATGGCGGAGATTTTGAAAACCCAGGCTTGAATTACGAGAAATTCGAGTGTATATTTTATGTATCTTTTATGTATATGTATGTCCCGATTTGTCGCTGGCCATAATTACGAGAAACTCAAGTGTATATTTTATGTATCTTTTATGTATATGTATGTCCCGGTCTGTCGCTAGCTTGAATTACGAGAAAATCGAGTGTATATTTTATGTAACTTTTCATGTATATGTGCAAAGATTCTAAGTGTATATTTTCTTCTTCTTGTGTTAGGGACGAGCAGTAATACACATACGAAAATGGCGATTAGGGTTCTTTTATCCTAACTTTGTTGTTGTTTACTTTATCATTCTACAAAGTTAACATCGAAATACATATCTAGATTCATTTTTAAATTGAAATATAACTAAAAGATTGATTTGGCTACTAATAAAAATCTTATCCTGAAAATCTGCCCGTTGGCCATAAAAAAAACGCAGCTTACCAATATTAAAAATAAGTCTTCCTTAAATGTAGGCTAAACTGATAACCTATTTCGTAATATTTGTGGCCAATCATCATATGTTTGCAAATATTTGCAAATAAATATTAACATTTATTAAGTGACAATTAATGTTGTTAAATTAAACGTGCCTGGCTCGACTCGGATCGAGCTCGGCTCGTTAAGGCTTGGTTCGACTCGAGTTCAATGCTTTAACAAGCCGAACTCGAGCTCATTTAAAGCTCGTTTGGTTAACGAGCCGAGCTGGGCTCGACTCGATAAGGCTCGAAAATTGAAATTTATGTAATTTTTTATAGTTCGGCTCATTAAATCTCGAGATCGGCTCGTTAAGGTTCGAGTTCGAGGCCTTAACTAGCCGAGCTCGAGCTTGATTTTTGGCTCGTTTACTTAACGAGTCGAGCTCGACTCGACTCGTTAAGCGCTCGAGCTTGAGCTCAAACACCTAAAGCTCGAGCTCGGCTCGGCTCGCTTACAGCCCTAGTTACAATTAACAGAATATGGGCTTGTTCCCCAAGTAATATTCTCAAATATTTTTTGAAAAAAAAGCACTCGACTCCGGTCTAGGTCATGAACCCGGGTTAACTGGTTTGAGTTGATGGTAATGGGCAGAAATCCACCGGCTCGATAGAGGTTATTATCTTACCAATGTTTTGAATACCGTACCGTACCGGTCGGTATTACCGGTAATACCGGATACCGGTGGTCCGACCAGTACGGTTACACTCTAAATACCGTTTTTGACAAAAAATCGGTTGATACCAGTTTCATACCGTTTTATCGGCCAAAATACCGGTCAAGATACAGGTTTATGCCAATTTTTTTGAAAAAAATATTTTAATATATTTTTATTATTATTTTTTTATATAAATTGAAAGTTTTACACTTCATTTTAATATGTCTACATTGTTGTTAGATAATTAATTTTAGCATTAATTAAAATTAATTTTATATTGTAATAACAAATTTATTTAATATTAGTTAATACCAGTAAAATAGACGATAAAACCGATCGAACCACACCGTTGACTCGTCCGGTATAATCTTACCCATAACCAATATTATCTTATCCATTATCAATTATTGAGCCCAATCCTTATGTGTGGGGCCCCGTCTTATTAGAGCAGGAAACTTCCTCATAACATAACTTCACATCTCACATGCCACAAGTTATTATTATTTTTTTGTGGCTGTTGTTTTGCAAATTGGATGTACACTAAATCCGGTAAATTAAATTTGCAAATAAATAAATAAATAAATAAATAAAAAATAAATAATCCGGTAAATGAATAAAATAAAATATAGGGAAACACATCAAATATAAAGAAAATTCAATAGTTTTATTCATCTATTTATTCAAGAGTAATGCTACATAGCCTACTTAGGTGACAACTTGGATTACAACTCAAGTATAAATGCATTATTTTTTAATTTTTTGATAATGCATTTATACTTGAGTTGTAATCCAAGTTGTCATCCAAGTAGGCTAAATAGTATTACTCATTTATTCAATTATTATATGTATTTATTACGGCTAAAAAAATAGTTCTATTTGTATCCTCATTTTTCTTAAATTTATTCTGGCTCGAATTCGACCATCTTTTAAATAATAATAACTGAATGAATTATTAATTTAATTAAAAAATATATGTTATAAATCGAAAGGCAAATTAAATTGCAGGAAGAGCAGACCTTGTTTTCTGCAATTGAATCTTCAAAATAGAAGCAATTTTTTCCCTTTATCATTGGATTCCTAATCATAATAATATATTTATTTATTTGCGCTTTCTGATTTTTTTCTGGAAAGGCCATCATTTGTAATATTAGGAAACAAATTGTGAGATCGAAGAAGGAAATGAGCAGGACAACGGCGGCGCGTACGAGGACTCGCGTGGGCAAGTATGAGCTGGGTCGGACCCTGGGTGAGGGCACCTTCGCCAAGGTTAAGTTTGCGACTAATACTCAGACCGGTGACCATGTCGCCGTTAAAATCATTGATCGTGATCGAGTCCTCCGTCACAAGATGGTTGAGCAGGTTCGATTACAATCTCTGTGTGTGTGTGTGTGTGTGTGTGTGTGTGTGTGTGTGTGTGTTCAATAGATCAGTCTAATGGTCGTCTCCAATTAAATTAATATGCACCATTGGTTTGAGATCGTAGGAATATGAATTGATTGGTTATGGGAGTATTTTTATGTTTTATTTTAACAATCTTTTGGTTTGGTTGATTGAATATAGTACTACAAGATACTACTTATAAGTGTTGCCCTGTGTGTCCATTGATGTAAGTTGAATGTTGAGCAGAGAGAACTGCGGATTTGCGTCTTGATTGATGTTTTAGTTGTTGAAAAGTAATGTGTTTGTTTGCAGATCAAACGGGAGATATCGACGATGAAGATGATCAAACATCCGAATGTCTTAAGTTTATTTGAGGTAGTGTGTCTTGTTACTTCATTAGTAAATAACTTAGAATTTGTTACAGTAACCTACGCATAAAAATAAGATAGTGTTGTACATAGAGAAGTATTGAGAATTACGACTTGCACCACTGAAATCATAAACAACATTTGTAATTGTACCAAATATGACATGAACCAAAGTATTTGTTTGTTTTATAGTCCGGTCGACCAGTTTTTTGTGCTTTTGACTGTTGTCCTATAATTATGACTAAATAAATTAATTAATATACAAACGAAGCGAAGCTAAGTTCAGTCATATAAGAATAAATTTGAAGTAGATTAGTGGAAGGCTGCAACATTTGTGTAAGCTCAAAGTTTAAGCAGCACATTCTCATCAGTTGAATCGAGCTGTTGCGCTCTGCTGGTCCGAATTTTATTTTTAACTACCTTAGAAGTCTTAGAGATTCGAGGCATACTTATTCCTTTGTTTTAATAATAGGTAATGGCGAGTAAAACCAAGATCTACATTGTTCTCGAATACGTCGATGGAGGCGAACTCTTTGACAAAATTGTTAGTTCTTATTTTTACAATTTTTCAGTTCTTCTGCTCTTGGTGCTGCAATACTCGTATGATCTAATATCTTGTCACTTACTGTTTTTTTAAAGGCTAAATATGGGAAACTTAAAGAAGATGCTGCTCGGAGATACTTCCAACAGCTCATCAATGCTGTTGATTACTGCCACAGTAGAGGCGTATACCACCGAGACTTGAAGGTCGACTGAGAAGTTGTATTATCTCTTAATTGAAGCATCTCTTGTCATAGCATTTGAGTTTTCTAGTGTATGTTTTTTTTGTAAATGAATGTTCTATATGTCTCAACATAACATATGCAGCCAGAGAATCTGTTGCTGGACTCTTATGGTGTCCTTAAAGTTTCAGATTTTGGATTGAGTGCATTCTCGAAGCAAGTCCGGGTAGGTTTTTCTTTTTTTAAATAAAGTTATCTAACACGGCTCGCGTTTGGGCATCAAAAGTTTTTGAAAATTTATCCATGAGGAAGGGCTACGACATGTGCTTCTGGTCAATTTCCCAGTTTTATTTTGATGACATGTTGCTGTTCCTATGTGTTCCTTATTGTAGGACTTCTGTTCCAGCCTCCATGTTGGATACCAGCTGTTTATTCTATTTTGTAGTTGAATTTAGTGTTGGGATAGTTTTTAACCCATTTCTGCTTATTATATTTAAGAATCTGTTCCATCATTTTATTTTTCTCTTCTTTTAACTACTTTTGCTTTATCGGGGGCATTCGAAAGTTAAAGTTGCATTTTCATCATTGTTCTTCAATAGGATGATGGTCTTCTTCACACTGCTTGCGGCACACCGAACTACGTAGCTCCGGAGGTACTATACATATGGTTCTTTGTATTGTGAAGGCCCAACAATTTTCTTTCTTTATTTTATTGTTAAAGAATTTGAGATGTCATTTATTTTTTCTGTCAGGTTCTCACGGACAAAGGTTATGATGGTACAGCATCAGATGTGTGGTCTTGTGGCGTTATTCTTTTTGTTCTAATGGCTGGCTACTTGCCTTTTGATGAACCCAACCTAATGGCTTTGTATAGAAGGGTAAAGACAATTTCTTGCTTTGCGATTCTAATTGTGTTTGGAGTATGTCATGTCATTTCATGTCATATTATTTATTATTATTATTATTATTATTATTATTATTATTATTATTATTATTATTATTATTATTATTATTATTATTATTATTATTATTATTATTATTATTTTTCTTTATTTTTTTTTTTCAGATTCAAAAGGCGGATTTCTCATTTCCTTTATGGTTCTCATCCAGTGCGAAAAAGCTGATTAAGCGTATTCTGGATCCAAATCCTCTTACTGTGAGCTTTCAAATATTTCTTTCCTTTTATAAACCATAATCAAATTTAGCAAAAATTAAATTTGAACAGTATCTTTGAAATTCTGGTTTATATGTGGATGTTGCAGAGAATTACAATTCCTGAAATTCTGGAAAATGATTGGTTCAAGAAAGATTACAAACCACCTCAGTTTGAGCAGGAAGAGGGTGTTAATCTTGAAGATGTTGATGCTGTCTTCAATGACTCTGACGTAAGCTGTTGAAATTTAATACAATTGCATTTGCGTACTGACTATACTACTAAGTCGAGTATAACTTTATTTAATTAATTCTTTGGCAGGAACATCTTGTAACAGAAAGGAAAGAGAAACCAGTGTCCATGAATGCCTTTGAGCTTATTTCTAGGTCTCAGGGTTTTAGCCTTGAAAATCTGTTCGACAAACAGATGGTATTTAGCCCTTCTTGTGTCCAATTTAAAATCATCACACAAGACTTTTTTCTCTCTTATTGTTTTTTAGAGGAAAAAATTTGGATTCAAACTGTGTAGGGTCCTGTAAAGAAGGAAACATCCTTTACATCCAAGTGCCCTGCGAATGAGATCATGTCGAAAATCGAGGAGGCTGCTAAACCTATGGGTTTTAATGTCCACAAAAGAAATTATAAGGTTTTATATAATTTTTTATATCCTCACAGGGAAGATAATAATATGTAATGCCTTGGCAGTTACCGTAAATGTTTTGCAGTTGTGCGTAAGTCATAACCTCTTTATTGTAAAATTTTGCAGATGAAGTTACAAGGAGATAAGACAGGGAGAAAAGGTCAACTTGCTGTAGCCACAGAGGTATTGTTTTACAGTTGAGTCTGTTGAAATTTAACTTGTCCCGTATCTATAAGAAGCTAGCAAATTTGGTTAGTAAATAAAGAGGTAGGAAATACTAGCCTTTTATTTTTATTTTATTTTTTTCATCAGGTGTTATAAGTTCCTTTTATGCTATTTTGGTACTACGAGCTATGAACTTGGTGCTGCTGCAGTCCAGAATTAGGATGGAAAACTCATAATACCATTAGTCATTCAGAAACTAGACACATTCACAAGCAACGTGACTGAAAATAGTCCACTCCTAAAATTTCGCTGGAGTGGAATAGCAAAGTTTTTAGGGAAAAATCTCGGAGGGACTTGAAATATTATGTTAAAGGGTTACGAGATGAAATTTGAAAACCCTTAAGAGTTTCAGGGTTGAAATTGCAATTAGGCCAAAGGGCGAAACCATGCACGTTAGACGAATGTAGAAACAATTTCATGCTTTTCCAGTTGAAGTGGCTTGTGCATTTTCTAGATGGATACAATTTATGATCGATGGATGTATTGGGTTAATTTATATCAACCGGTCTTTGTTTGTACCAGGTTTTTGAGGTGGCTCCTTCACTGCACATGGTGGAGCTACGTAAAACTGGTGGTGACACCTTGGAATTTCATAAGGTTTTTATATTAAACATCTTTTTCATATTGTTCATAATTTCAAGAGA